CTCGCCGGGAATTCACTGGGCCCTCAGGAATTCACTGGACCCTCAGGAATTCACTGGCTCCTCGGGAATTCAGTGGGCCCTCGGGAGTTCACTGGGACCTCGGGAATTCAGTGGCTCCTTGGGAGTTCACTGGGCCCTCAGGAATTCCCTGGCCCCTCGGGAATTCAGTGGTTCCTCAGGAATTCACTGACCCCTTGGGAGTTCACTGGTCCCTCGGGAGCTCACCGGGCCCTCAGGAATTCCCTGGCCCCTCAGGAATTCCCTGGCCCCTCAGGAATTCCCTGGCCCCTCAGGAATTCCCTGGGCCCTCAGGAATCCCAGGCCCCTGAGGAGCTCGGTGCCAGCCCTGAGGAAAGCTGCCTGGCTCCCCACGGAGCAGCAGGGGGGGAGCAGGATCAGCCCGGAGCTGCTCTTGGCGTGGGCTGAGCTGGGGCAGAGACACCGGTTCTCTCTGCAGGAGGGGAAAGGGCTTGTGAGTCAGGATTGTGATGTTGCTCAAGGTGCACACGCCCCCTCAACACAAGGCTCAGCACGAGCTTTGCAGGCAAAATGAAAAGTTCTGCTTATGAGAAGGGCCTGGTTGGTTTCCCCAAGTGCCATGTTAAAAGCAAACTGCAAAGCCTGCCTGTGCTGTGGTGTGGCATCCTACTGAGCAGCTTTCTGCAACATGACTGGTGGCACTGGTCAGGAACTGGGAGGCTGCCAAGCCAGAACGGTGAGGCTGGTTGCTTTAAGGTCAAGAAAACCTGATTTAGCTGATTTACCCTATTTCATTCACTTGTGACAGGAGTCCCATGACTGCTGCCCCTCAGGAAGGACTGTTCTGCACCACTGCATGCACCAGCCACATTCCTTGCATCATCTCCTCTGCCATTCTGGAACCATTACCCCTCACAATGACACCTGGTAATTAAAATCAAGACCCCTGTGTGCCTCTCCTCCCCTGGCTTCCTGTCTGGTTTTTCAAAGTTCCAGCATGTCACCGTTTGCCAACAGGAGCACCCAGGAAAAGCTGGTACCAAATCCCTGGTGCTGCAAAGCTGGTGACATGGTTCACTGTTCACTCTGCTCCTGTTTGTTAGCTTTGTCATGGCAGGACAGAGTGTTTTTAAAACAGATTTAGAAATCGTTTCTGTGAATAAGGTTAAATGAAAACAGATCTTGATAAAGATGAAAGGCAGCTGCTTTTACTGAGAACCTGGGAGGGGTTTGTGCCAAGATAAGCAGTGCATGTTTTGACTAAGAGAATTCCTGC